GCGGTAGGTACGGTAGTCTAGTGGTAGGACGCCGGGCTCGCGGTAGGTACGGTAGTCTAGTGGTAGGACGCCGGACTGGCGGTAGGTACGGTAGTCTAGTGGTAGGACGCCGGGCTCGCGGTAGGTACGGTAGTCTTGTGGTAGGTCGCTGGGCTCGTGACCGAAGCTAGGTACGGTAGTCTAGTGGTAGGACGCCGGGCTCGTGACCAAAGGTAGGTAAGTTAGTCTAGTGGTACATGTAGGACGCCGGGCTCGCGGTAGGGTACGGTAGTCTAGTGGTACATAGGTCGCCGGGCTCGCGGTAGGTACGGTAGTATTGTGGTAGGCCGACGGGCTCGTGACCGAAGCTAGGTACGGTAGTCTTGTGGCAGAACGCCGGGCTCGTGACCGAAGGTAGGTACGTTAGTCTAGTGGTAGGACGCCGGGCTCGCGGTAGGTACGGTAGTCTAGTGGTAGGACGTCGGGCTCGCGGTAGGTACGGTAGTCTAGTGGTAGGCCGCCGGGCTCGCGGTAGGTACGGTAGTCTTGTGGTAGGTCGCTGGGCTCGTGACCGAAGCTAGGTACGGTAGTCTAGTGGTAGGACGCCGGGCTCGTGACCGAAGGTAGGGACGGTAGTCTTGTGGTAGGACGCCGGGCTCGCGGTAGGTACGGTAGCCTTGTGGTAGGCCGCCGGGCTCGCGGTAGGTACGGTAGTCTTGTGGTAGGTCGCTGGGCTCGTGACCGAAGCTAGGTACGGTAGTCTTGTGGTAGGACGCCGGGCTCGCGGTAGGTACGGTAGTCTTGTGGTAGGTCGCTGGGCTCGTGACCGAAGGTAGGTACGGTAGTCTAGTGGTAGGCCGCCGGGCTCGCGGTAGGTACGGTCCTCTTGTGGTAGGACGCTGGGCTGGCGGTAGGTTTGGTAGTCTAGTGGTAGGACGCCGGGCTCGTGCCCGAAGGTAGGTACGGTAGTCTTGTGGTAGGACGCCGGGCTCGCGATAGGTACGGTAGCCTTGTGGTAGGCCGCCGGGCTCGCGGTAGGTACGGTAGTCTTGTGGTAGGACGCCGGGCCCGTGACCGAAGGTAGGTACGGTAGTCTTGTGGTAGGCCGCCGGGCTCGCGTTAGGTACGGTAGTCTAGTGGTAGGACGCCGGGCTCGCGCTAGGTACGGTAGCCTTGTGGTAGGCCGCCGGGCTCGCGGGAGGGACGGTATTCTTGTGGTAGGACGCTGGGCTCGCGGTAGGTTTGGTAGTCTAGCGGTAGGACGCCGGGCTCGTGACCGAAGGTAGGTAAGGTAGTCTTGTGGTAGGACGCCGGGCTAGCGATAGGTACGGTAGCCTTGTGGTAGGCCGCCGGGCTCGCGGGAGGTACGGTAGTCTTGTGGTAGGACGCCGGGCCCGTGACCGAAGGTAGGTACGGTAGTCTAGTGGTAGGACGCCGGGCTCGCGGTAGGTACGATAGTCTAGTGGTGGGACGCCGGGCTCGCGGTAGGTACGGTAGTCTTGTGGTAGGACGCCGGGCTCGCGGTAGGTATGGTAGTCTAGTGGTAGGACGCCGGGCTTGTGACCGAAGGGTTGCAGGTTCGAGTCATGGCACGGCACTGTGTTGTATCTTTGAGCAAGATACTTTACTCCTCTTGTTCCAGTCTACTCAGCTGTAAATGAGTACGTAGTTGGGCAGTGCTAGAATTGAAGAATGCTAGCTGTGAGCGTCGAAATGGCAGCACCGGCTGTATGCTCTTCAGGGAGTTGAGGAGAATTTTGGCTAGTTGCAAAGGCCCTATAGTCACGGATAATAATTTGTGAACAGCTTTGAGCCGACCTACAAGCTAGGTTGTGATTAAGCGGTATATAAGATTTATTGTCACTATTAACATCTTTTAACATCTTTTGGTTGTGTTCATCCCCACTCATTAATTTAAACCCCTCCAATATTAAAAAGTTCTATTCCTAGCAGAAATATTTAATCCTAAAAGTGCCTAGCTAAAACAGGTTCCAACCCGACTATACAAAATATATATTTGTTCACTCTTTCAGGAAATGTTCCATCAGATAACGCTTTTTGGAGGACCAAAGTAAACCGTCTCTATATGTATGAAGTTACTGTACCTATTCGGTTGTAAAAATGGCAAGAGCCCCATTTTCCTGTGAATTTGACATTAAAGAAATAAAAAACCTCGGCTACGTAGAATGTATGGACATTCTGGAATCAAATGGCATCGATATCAAAGCTTTAGAAGAACTTGAAGAACTTCAGGATCTTATCATCAAGAATTTGCAGTTAGGCAAACAATACGAGAATGTGGAGGAAGGCCAATCTGTATCTGGGGAGGCGAGCGACAGCAGAGATATTTCATTTTCTTCGGTAAGTGTAGACATTTATATGACAGAACTATCCAGGGTAAGAAAGAGAAGTCAGAATTTATATCTTATACCCCAATTCACGTTTGTGACGTCAACAGAGACACAACAATAAATTGACCTCGCGACGTTGAAACATTACGATGCCTTAATGCGGAAGTTGCGACGCCTTTTGGGATGTTCCTGAGCTAAATTCGCTCATGCCAAGGGGTGTAGAATAAGGAAATTCCTACTCCAGGATTTCAAAATTGCTGTAAAACCAGCGGCAAGCTTCAGGTTGTAGCAATTTCTAAAAACCTTGGGTGGAATTCCCTTTCTTTCTTCATCCCTGGGCACGAAGGAGTGTTATTGTAGTTTTAAATGACCACAAAACGCAGAAAAACAAGAGTTTGTCTTTCTGTCTTTCTGTATCGAGAAACGGTTGCTTCCTACTTTGTTTTCCAGAAATTATTTCGCGTTTTATTTTTCTATTTCAAATGATTTGTGTACATTTTGTAGGATTGAGAAATTGAGCAGCTACGCATATTGCTAGTTACTATATTTTCTTGAAAACTTAAGATGTATGCTTGAATTCGATCCGATCGATCGATCGAAAGAGATACTGGATAGATTCAAGTCAGAAATACATTTAAAGAGATTCAATTGACGTCAAAGTTTTTCGTTAATCAAGGATTTAGATTATGGATTGCTATTTGGAATATGGCTAGAGTTAGGGAAGTGAAAAAATCACTGGTAACACGAATAAATGAAGCACCCGCTTGTAAGATTTTAATTTTGAAACACGGTTGTAAAAATATATCATTTGTGTATAAGATATGCTCGCCAAGTTGAAATAACTGGGACTGCAACGATTCATTAATATGACGATACGATACGTATCATGATACTTTGGTCACGATACGATACGTATCACGATACATTTAGTAACAGTAGAAGCAATGAGAAAGATATGTTGCAAAATGTTAGTGTCAATATTACAACAGGAAATAGACTTGGTCCAAAATGGCGTGCATGCCGAACTTGAGCTGTTACTCGCCATGTTGAAACGGAAATTAGAAGACTAAATTCAGAAACGACACAATCCATAAATATTGTAGGTGTATCGCGACCTTACAAAAATATTGGTATCGTATCGTATTCAAAATATCGCGATATATCGTTGCAGCCTTAGTGATAACATTATTATTTTTAAGTCTGCTGACCTGATGAATCAGATTATCTCCCGTGACCGTGAAATCAAAGTCAAACTAAATGGTATCTATGACGACATGAAGAGGTTCTTTGAGATGAGTCAATACACTTCCGACCGAGACCTGCAGCACGAGCTAGAAATTGAATTCAACAATGTACAGGGCATGGCTGATGAATACTCCAGGGAACTGATGTGCGATGAGTGTCCAATCGTTGTCGCAGGTAAACTTCCGGAATCTTGAATATAGTTTCAAAAATATTCAGATGTTTTAAAACCGAAACAAAGAGAATATTTGTGGCTTTATATTGAAATCAAATTATTTGCTTTCGTGCGAGACAATTAGCAACTTATCTTATTCGTCATATGTTGCCCTCAAAGGTGTTCCAAAGGGGAATGGTTGTGTACGAGTGATGGGTATAAAAGAGATGTTCCCAATAGCTATTATTAATGGCATAGGTTAAGGAGTCTCGCAATACGATAAAGTGGATCAAAAATATTCATATTTATGTTCAGGAAATGTCTCCTGAATAACACTTTATTTACTGTATCACAAGAATGTATGACGTCATTTTATCTTCACATTATCGATACTCCAGGGACTACGGTCATTTACGCTCTCTACACCCCTGGAATATGTCATTGCAAAATTGAAGACTCTTTAACTCGACACCTTGTAGGTGAGACAAGAAAACTAGATTGATCCTTTTGATGTACATCAAAATATTGACTGGCTTTAGAGTCGGGTGTCGCTCCTCAGTAAAACAAACATGTGTCAGCCTAGCGGTTGGTCAGGTGTTCTTTTACATGAGACCAATCAAATAACTTTTTTCATGCCTTCAATTTTGCTATGACATTTTCCAGGGGTGCAGAGAGTATACGTGAGCATCAAGGATAGAGAGAGTGAGGTCATATTTCACTTTATGCGGAGGAGTGAAGGGTTCTTCCACGTAAGGCAAACGTTTATTGGTTATAAAAACTTTATTTGTTTTAACACAATTATGAAACAAGTTATTTCAGCTTATATTAATCACTCTTGTTGGCCCGGATGTTAGCGCGGGAGTGGGGCTTAGTATGGGAGGAAACCGGAGTACCCGGAGAAAACCCATGTGATTGGGCAGGTGACCCCATACCTTTTTATTTTATATCCGATCGGGGAATCGAACCCCGGCCGCCTTGGTGAAAGGCAAGTGCGCTATTCATTGCACCACCCGAGCACCCTTTATGGGTTCTGTGCCCTGACCAACAGAAAGTCCTGAGAGTTAGTAATCACTGCTGTGTACCCTTTATGTTCGGGTTTAAATGACACTTTAACTACTTAGCCCAGTGTCGGGATAATGGGAGGGATTACTCACGTGACCGTTTCCAGATTGGTATCACCCAGTGAGTGGGTGAGTGATGGCACTTTCAAGTAGCAATAGAGTGGAAACTGTCCTTACATGACTTAAGCTGTTACAACCATTTAAAACCTAGGCACATAAAACCAAACTGATGTATACAAATCAGAGGTAAACAATGGGAGACTATGATTACCTATAAAACTAAGCAATTATATAACAAAAGGGGTGCGATTTCCCTTAACGCATTCACCCCTGAAATTTCATAATGAACTATTCCAACTTTTGAATTGGAAGAGTTCAAGTTTGTCTTCAGGGGTGAATGAGTTAACGCCTTTCTTGTTTTGTTTCACAAGGAGAAACCAGCGCAGGAAAGAGCAGCTTATTAAACCTGATTCTTGGGAGTAAAATTCTCCCTTTGTCACTTCGCTCCAACACCTCCACCGTCTGTCGCCTCCGTAACCACGAACAGAAGATGATCAAAGTGTACGATCAAACTGGGGAGAATCTTGTCTTCGTTCGGGAATTCGAAGAAGATGTCAAAGACGATGAACTGAAAAAGGAACTACAGAAGTACATCAGTTGTGAAGACAACCCGTATAGATACGTGGACATTTTCTGGCCGATTCCATTTCTGGGGGTAAGTACATAAAGTATAAATCTCCCCTACATTTGTATACCACTGACTTTCACATTGAGATCTGATATAGACGTAGACGTTTTCTGGCTGAGTCCATTTTCTGGGGTAAGTATAAAAAGTATAAATCTCCCCAAACCACTGACTTTCACTTTTAATTGACCATAGGACGCAAATCACAAACAAACCAAATCAAACCAAACTATTAAGGGTTAGGGTTAGGGTTAGGGTTAGGGTTAACCTAACTATTAAGGGTTAGGGTTATTAAGAAAGAACTGACATAGGAATAGCCGTTTATCCTTTTCTTGTATCATCTTTGAATAAAATCGATTTAAAAGAAGTGAAATAAAATAAAACAAATTAATAACCGGAATACTAAAATAGTCATACGGATTTTTGTCAGGTGAATACCTGTTATACATGTATATGATGTTGTCAGGTGAATACCTGTTATATATGATGTTGTCAGGTGAATACCTGTTATATATGATGTTGTCAGGTAAATACCTGTTATATATGATGTTGTCAGGTGAATACCTTTTATATATGATGTTGTCAGGTGAATACCTTTTATATATGATGTTGTCAGGTGGTGAATACCTTTTATATATGATGTTGTTAGGTGGTGAATACCTGTTATATATGATGTTGTCAGGTAAATACCTGTTATATATGATGTTATCAGGTGAATACCTTTTATATATGATGTTGTCAGGTGGTGAATACCTTTTATATATGATGTTGTTAGGTGGTGAATACCTGTTATATATGATGTTGTCAGGTAAATACCTGTTATATATGATGTTATCAGGTGAATACCTTTTATATATGATGTTGTCAGGTGGTGAATACCTTTTATATATGATGTTGTTAGGTGGTGAATACCTGTTATATATGATGTTGTCAGGTAAATACCTGTTATATATGATGTTATCAGGTGAATACCTTTTATATATGATGTTGTCAGGTGGTGAATACCTTTTATATATGATGTTGTTAGGTGGTGAATACCTGTTATATATGATGTTGTCACATGAATACCTGTTATATATGATGTTGTTAGGTGGTGAATACCTGTTATATATGATGTTGTCATGTGAATACCTGTTATATCTGATGTTTTCAGGTGAATACCTGATATATATGATGTTGTAAGGTGAATACCTGTTATATATGATGTTGTCA